TGAAGATCTCTGGCTATATAGATCTTAAGAAAGTTTTCTTATCACCGTTGTAACATTTATGCTTAAAAAAAAGATAATTTTTGATTTTCGTAGCTTTGAAAATAAATATTTTACCCTTTATAAGAAATCAATAGCTCAAATATACAGACTTGCCAACTTTCGATGCTTTTTGTAGAAATTTATTCTAGTGGTATCTGCAATTATGTTTTAACTTATAACTTATTTTCCACCACTACTATATATGAATTAATTTAAAAGATCATATGCAACGCTACATTATGTCGGCTCTGTCATGGTGATGCTTTTAAATTGTTGGGGTAAAATCCCCAGAAGTTCTGAAAACTTGAGTTTTAAAAGGACTACCACTGACCAAAATATTTTGCAAAAAGCGTAGTTGACAAGCCTGAATATATGCATAAAAGATCTATCTACTGGCATAACCTCAGATATTTGAGATTCATGTGAAGTATTATTCTTTCGTGGTAGAGATATAAAGCAAAATTACTATTTTAATCAATTAAGTGTTTTAACGGACCTTGTATCAGAACTTAGGAATGTGACCGTCTGTCCTTTTTTTATATTCGTTTACAAAATTTTTAATTCTAATTTAGTATAGCATTATCAAATTTTCAGAAATTTTCTTAATCAACACCTTTTACATTACTCGATAAGGTTCTTTCATGAAAGCGGTAAGTATTTCCCGTGTAACTTAATGATTACGTTCTAATTTGAAAAGCTTCTAGATCAGGGGTTTCCAACTTACATGAGGCCGGGGGCCACAATTAAAAACACCAGTCAAATGGCGGGTCGCAACTTTGTCAAAATTTTATGTAGGATTATTTTATGTTTGAAGGAACATTAAATATTACTGTCAGATTTTTATCAAGTTGTTCACAACAAAAGTATTGAATTACAAATAATAATAAATATTTACTTGATGCAAAACCTGAGAAATACATTTTTTTGTACCGTTGGTATGTTAAATTTCACAGAAACGAAGAAATTAGTTCCAATTGGTAACTATACTGTTCTAGCATATGTGGCGCAAAAGAGAATGTGCATATTAAAAGTAACGAAAGTATCCGACTGAAATAAGCGTTTACATTTAAGGGAAATAATATTTACATTTAAGGGAAAATGCTCTGCCACTTTTTTTTACATAATGGGTGTTCTTTCATGGACAGAATTTCCCTGTAGATCTAATAATACGTAACCATTGCTATTATTAGGATTTTTTTTTACTGAAACTACAGAAATTCCGTAATAGTAGGAGGGTATGTATTTGTTTCTCACAAGTTAGGCTTTCAAATGCATATAAACGAACTATCTTTTTAAAAAGATTCGTTTACTTCTAATATTTGTTTTATCACCACAAGATATAATCATTCCTCAAAACCGTAGAAGTTGGCAACTACGAACAAGAATAGTGTAATTTATTGAATAAATATAATTCTATAATGCAGTGGCATGAGCATTGTAATGCAGTGTACCATTTTCTATAGCTGTATTTGTATTTGTAATGCAGTGGCAGGACCGGTAAAGGAGCAACTTTAGAAAAAATTAGAGGTGATGGTATCACAGATCCCCAAAAAAGAGAGTGGTTCAGTCATGGACACTGGGTATCTGTTCCAGGAACGGTTGCAGGGATGTGTAATATAATTGAAAAGTTCGGCTCAAAAAAGGTAACTTAATATTTTAAAATTTATTAGTAATAGATCTTTCGTCATCTATTTTTATATGAATATAACTATTTGAAAGTAATCCTATATTTTTAAATTTTAGTTAATATAATGTATCAAATTATTGAATTTAATAAAATAGCGGGCGAATATAGAAAACTAAATATTGAAGAATTTCAGTTAATTCAGTTGACACCTTGAAAGGCTCATTTCGAGATAATTTTAGTCACTAAGTTCGAACTGGGAGTCAGAGGCCTCAGATGCGCCCTTTTCCCATTTATCTTGAAATATTGAGCTTAGAGGAGAATCGATAAGGTAACAGGAACACAAATAGGATGATGGGTAGCGAATAAACGGCATTTCGCCTTAAGTTGATAGAGATGAAATTAATTAGTTTGCAGACAGAAACCAATAGATGAAGATTAACAGTTGATGAAGAGAGACAAATAGTAAATCTATGCAAAAGATGACTATATACAAATGAAGACAACTATTCTACGAAGACGTCTTTATTTCATATTCTACTATGAAGACGTCTTCATTTGCATATGATGTTGAAGGGTAAATGCCGCATAACTATCGTAAAGAAGTATGCATTAGGTCTAAGACTGGCATCGTCTTTAAGATTATTAAATTTTAATATATTGTTAAAATTTGAAGTATTGCAGTCAAGAGCTTTGTCAAAGAAGTTTCTGATGAGGTTCTTGAAATTTTGATCAAATGAATCGATTTTTAGGTCAATATATATGTCAGTATTCCTTTGAAACCACGTGGCCTTGGTAATACTCCTCATGATGTTTTGTAATGTAGCAAGCTTTTTCAGTTGGTTTTCAGTGGCATTTCAACAATCAGCCGATGCGTATGCCATTATTGGTAATGTAATAATATTCTGTGTTTCAGCTGAGGTGTCCTTGATTGAGTAGATTCTGTAATTTAATTACTGCAGTATTTGCCTTGTGATCCGTCCATGTAAGATGTTTATTTAGAACAAGACCAAGATAAGTGGCTTTGCTAACAGTTGGTATGATTTCATTAAATAGTTGAAGTTGGTTATGATCTTGAAATATTTTTCTCTTCTTTTGTATAATTAAAAGTTGTGATTTGAAAGCATTTGTCTCAAATTTCCAATTGAGACACCAGTCCTCAGTGCCATAGATTTTAGACAACAGTTTCTGAGTAGCTAGGTTTGGATCAGCAGATTTGACTACAATCCCTGTGTCATCGGCATAAAATACCGTGATCACTATGATCAATTGGAAAATCATGAGTATATATAGTATAGAGTATCGGGCCCAGGATATTTCTTTGCATGAAACCAACGCGTAGTCTTAGTCAATAATCTTAGTCGTTGATTTATGTTTATTGACACTGATGTAGAAGTTTCTATTTCTGAAATAATTGTTAATAATTTTGACAATCCCACGTGGGAAATTTGATTGCATTAATTTATAGGTTATACCATTATGCCAAACTCTATAGAATGCCTTGCTAATGTCCAGCATTAGTAGGGTTGAAAATTGTTTAAGATGAAGATCTCTGGCTATATAGTCCACAATTTGAAATAATTGCTTGGAAGATCTAGTTAAACCCAAACTGCTCAGCGGGAAGAAAAGTAAAGCATGACTTTAGTTTATTATAAATAAACCGTTCAAGAGTGTTTCCGTTAGCGTTCAGTAGACTAATTGAATGGTAGCTGGAGGGTGAGTATGGATCTTTATTAGGTTTTCACATAAGAATAATATTTGCCGTCTTCCAGATGTTGGGAAAGTAATTCAATTTAAGACAGCTATTGAAGATTAATGTAAGATTCCCAATATATTAATTAAGGAGAAACTTAACCATCGTATTTTCAATTCTGTCACATCCAGAAAATTTTAGAGGTTTTAGTTTTCAAACGAGGTTTTTCACTTCTTCAATGATGGTTGGTTCAATTGAAACTGGTGCTTGATTTCGTGATAAAAAGATAACTACACATTGATTAACCAATTTGTGATTAGCTTGGTCGTATCTGTTATTAAGATTGAATTGTTCTCCCATATGGTTTGCAAAAACCTCTGCCTTTTCAATATATGAGGAAACAAAGCTTTTTCGCAACGAAGAGGTTTATTTTTTGGTGGCTCCAAGAGGGAAGCTTTTGTAATATTCCATATTGACTTATTCTCTACCACCAAAGATTTTATTTTATTATTTCACTGTGATCGTTTTAGACGCCTACAGTCTTTGTGAATTTGTTTGTTGCGGTTGATCATTTGAAGGCTGTAAGGGGGTCTCTGGTCATATGATACTTTTTCCTGCAAAATGTCTTTGCTTGATGAGGTAGGTTATTCCAGGAATGAGTCTTAGAAAGTTAACTCTGTATTCTTTGATAGTAGTAGCCTCAGAGTAGGCTATAATTTTATTATCTTGGCCTTCAGTATTGACATTGTCAATTGAGTCGGTGGTCATCTTGATGAGAATATTTTTGTATAGGTCGCAGTTCGTATGATTTATTCAAGATAATTTTAAATAATTGGCGTTTGAATAATTGGCGTTGAAACGTAGTGGTGAGGATAAATGAACTTTAAATTAAACTTACTGCATTAAAAGATACATTTTCCTTCAAGTAGGAAGATATTACCACCAAACCGGAAACTCTGAGCAATGGTGCAACAACACTATCCTAAATTAATAATCGTACATAAAAATATGGGAACCTGACGTCGTTTACCAGGGCCCATACGCACCTAAAAATTATTAGTAACTGGTATCGATTTCGTTTGAAAAATTTAAAGTAAAACAAGTTTTTGATTAGAACCCTCAGGGCAATAGAAAAAGAGGAAGACCTAAAAGTACTTGGCGCAGGACGATTGTAAATGAATTGAAAACTATAGGATAGACTTGGTGAGAGGCAAAATAACTGGCCACAAATAGAGTGAGATGGAAAGCTATGATAGAAGCCCTATGCTCCAATTCGAAAAGAAAAGGTATATGTATGTGTATGTATCCATTTTGTTATAAAGAAGCTACGAATTTCTAAATAGAATTAGCTTCCACTATCAAAATAAAATTTCCTACTTGTCACCTTTATGTCTATATATATATTTAATTGTAGAAAATAAAATACTCTGGTATCTACAAACATTATAATATCAAAATATTTACACTAATATTTATACCACTTTTTAATTCTTTCCAGGTGAGTATGAACCCTTTTTACGAATTTTTTTAATGACTCTATATATTTATTTCTTTGTAGTGGTGGTCACAATTCTTATAAATCAACTTCGAGCCTCGGTGACTTAGGGGATACAGCGTTCGCCTCACAACGAGGTGACACAAGCTCGAATCCCAGTGGTGGCTAGTCGATACGAATTCTGCTCGTCTGGGCTCACATTGATCAATCACAGAGCTGACGTAAAATATCCTCAGTGGTAGACAGATCATGGGTTAGAATCCCCTAAATATCGGCTAACAGAGGCAGATTATCGTGCTTTTCCTCTCCGTATAACGCAAATGCGGGTTATTTCCATTAAAAAAAGTCCTCAACAAAAGCTAGTTTGGCCGAATGCTTGCTTAAGGAGTTCCCTTGTCATCTGGATTGTGTTCAAAATTACAAGTCTACGGAGTTAAGCATTGATAGTCGTAAACTCAACTGGGTGAGATGTTCAACGCCGGTAATAAAATAAAATATAAATTAAATTTGTTCAAACTAGATAATTAAAATTAAGTTTTTGTTACCACACAAAATATAAAAAGAAAATTGGGAGATCGGATAACTATGAAATTGTTATACCATGTGACAGAAGAACTTTATAAATGCAGCCTTGTAGCTCTTCTGTTATATTCAACAACGCTTCATTTTAAATATATTTTAGTCAGCTACTAATGACTTAAGTCAACACCTATTACTTAAGGCCTACTCACATTGTTATCAAAGTATGCCGTTCTAAACTACTTAACGTGTACTGATTCGCACTTTAGTAAAACTTTTATAGAAAAGAACTTGCAAACATTCATTTTATAATAAAATTGGTGATTCTCTTTTTCTTATCTACCACTAAATAAATAAATATATATGTATATATATTTTCTAAATTTTTGCTTTATTTAAGAAAGACTTTATCACGCAAATAAATCTTTATTTTAAGTAAACTAAACGGCCTGTTAAACATTTTATTTAGGGCTAAAGAATTCAAATGTACTTAAATCTAAAAAAATTGCAATACATTAACTGCTCCGGATAAGACGAAATATTTTAAAAAACGGGAGCGAACTAAAATTCACAGGTTTTCAGATAATTTTGCCAAATTTTTAATTAATATTTACTTATTTTTTGGGGGGACGGGCAAGTCATAAATCTATTAGTGCGGAATCAGAATAGTAAAAAATAAATCGCTGTAGCTTAAGTTTGGGCATAGCTAATATGACAGACGCATTTTTGCTTTCACTTTAAAGCTAAGACATCCAATCCTTGTGCGTTAAAAGTGTAACATTACAATTTTTAATGTGAACTATTATTACCCCGCCCACAAATAAACTGCTATAAAAATAGCTTGGTTACCAGTTTCATCTTTTTTTACCCTGATTATCAACCCCCTGAAAATGCATATATGACTCGCCCGTCTCGAAGAGGTTAACTCTGCTGACAAATACAGTACTGTATTGCTGACAAATACAGTTCCTAACCCAGAGGGTTAGCTACTCATTCATCTATGTTTAAAATAATAAGGATTAGTTGGAGGGGATGGCTTAACTGTAGCTAAGTGGCTTATGATATAAACCTTTGAATTATTTCTAAGTAGTGATGAATAAAAACCCCGTAAATTGAATTTACTAAACCAAGAATCTCATATTAAAAGACTGTCAATCGAAAATATCCAACCGCTGTCCAGAGCAAGTTGGTACTTCTGTATTTAAAGTCTCATCATATAACTGGTACAAAAAAATATTATATTGGGTCTTTCGAAAAGATCGTGTCGATTTTCGATATTAGAGCTCCCAAAGGTCCGCCAAAAGTATTCAAGGGGTAACAAAATTTATACTACAAAGCGGTCAACTTCCTTCGCTTTATAGTGAAGCGGCTGCGAATTTAGGAAAACTTCAAATTACAAGTGTGATTTGCTACCACTTGAATATTTTGCGTGGTCCTTTGGGAGAACGATAGAGATTGGCACGATCTTTCTGGAGGATTCAATATATGTATTGATGAATGGTGGTCAAAATAACTTCAAAACGAATTTACCAAAGTAAAACTTATACTTAATAAATATGATTTTACAACCACTGTAAAAAAAAATTCTAACAAACTGACCAAGTTTTGTATACTTTGTATAATCTGTATACTTTGCATAATTTGTATACCAAGGTACGAAAGTATTCACTTTTAAGGAATTAGGCACAGTGAACGTCTGAGATTGTGTTCAAGGCTTTTAGTACGTTAAGTGACCTTTTACCTTTTCATAGTGAATAATCAAATCATGTGATAAGGTCATCATGATTTAGGTCAATTTTAATAAGGTTGAATTAGGTACTAACTAGGAAAGTTTCTTGCGTTATAAAAGAAATAATAAATTTTTAAAAAAAACTGACAACCAATATTGCCATTACATATGAGTTTCTTTTCAACTTTTACAGCTAACAATGAAACAAATTCTTGAGCCTGTTATTAAACTAGCAAGAGATGGTGCACCTGTGCCCTATAAAGCTGCCACTATGTGGAAGAATAACCAAGACATGTTTCTCCATTCTAAAAATGCAGAAGATCTGTTGATAGATGGCAAACCACCTTCACCCGGTGATATAATAACAGCACCAAAGCTGGCAGACTGTTTTCAAGTAAACACAAAGATCCATTCATGCTAGTATATATGAAATTTTCTTACTTAATATTTTCTATTATTAATATACAGATTTACACACTATTAAACATGTATATATATATAAATACATCCATAGTATTCAAACAAAGGGAGGGTTAACAATGTATGAATAAAGTTAAACTAAGTGTGATAAAAACACAAATTATGCCATCTAACCAGATTTGCGATAGTGTCGGGTTTATTATAAAGAGCCTAGATTTGAGTAGCAAGAAAATAACAAGACCACGCTACAATAAGGGAAAGAGTCGATATTCCCCTTAAGTAAATGAATAGAGCAATTATGCAACAATTATGAGCCCTTATAAACAGAGCCAAATCACGTTAAACTTAGATTTGTTCTAGCCTTCACTAATTCTTCAGATCTGGCATGGCTACCCATATAGTCTAGTGTTGTCATAGGACAGCACAAAAATTAAATTAATCGTCATAGAGTATCGGTTTTATAAATTTTATTTTTAAAAAATATATAAAGACTAGTAACTTAATTTTTAATATTTATCCCAGATGAATACAACTTTGTTGCTCCGCATAATATAGTATAAAAGTATCCAATTTTATTTGTTTTCCGCATGCAACCGATCCATTCATTAATTAACTAAATTATCACATCTTAGCATGTATCCAAACGAAGATAGTATGCACTTTATACCATACGTGAAGAAACTAAACAATGTGAAAAACGCAGCACAAATAAAAGCACGAAAACAAGGGATATTATAGTTTCAGTTTTGTAAATCTAAAGTTTTTAATACAAATTGAGTTTTTATGAAATTTTAATTTGTACATATTCATTTATTATTATTCATACTTACGCTGGCTTGTATGCTCATTTCAAAGAAATTAGAGAGCAGATAGCATAAATTAGAAAAAAACATCACAAAGATACATCCCCATGGAAGGTAACTGCTATGCTTTTTGCGCAAGTTTTAATAAATTGATAGAGAATTAAATAGTAAAACTTATAGCAGAATAAAAGACAATTAGCCCACTCATTAAAAATGTCACCACAAGATAACTGCAATAAAAATGTATTTAACTTTGAATTTTTGACATGTAATGGTGAACAAATTACCTAGACTGAAAATTACTAAACTAAAAATAAACCTTAATTTCATTACCACTTGAAAATACTTTTTTTTACAAAGCTGAGCAAGTTGGCATCTAGTGTTACATGGTGTTTCGAGCCCTTTCGTGTGGAGGATTGGTTAAATCGCTCAAATTAATAAATCACTCATCAGTAGGAGTGCACAATGGGCTATTGGCGACGGCCCGGAAAACAGATTTGAGGATGATCCGATGACATGCCATCACAATTTTGATACTCTGTGGTGGGGACGACTAATACACGAAGTCTAACACTAAACGGCAAAACAGTGTAACAAAATCCAATCATGAATATGATGATTTTTCCATTATTTAAATGATTTATGTGTAGTGGTGAACAAAATTATTTTAGTTCTAATGTTAAAATAATACACTGTTCGTATGAACCTTTTGGGAAAAATTAAATAGTAGTAGAAATATTAAGATGAAAAATTATATTTTACTGTGCTTGTAAGTATCATAATACTTAAATAATCCTAAACAAATAAATTTTTATCTGATTATGGGGGAATTGAATTTTTAATTCTAAAAAAATCTAAAACTAAGAAATTTTTAACTGCTTTTACAAAATTTAAAATAATTTTAAAATTTTTCCAGGTGCGTATGAACATTACATTTGCGTTACTTGCCAACTTTACTTCCTTTTGAGGATGGAAATATGACTATTGAATTACTTTTCTAATAGGTGCCAACTATTATGGTCGTTGAAAAATATTTTTCTTGGTTTAATGCATAGTTTGCACCAACTTTAGAAATTCCATTGTTTCAGAATTTTTTTTTTCCTGTGATAGAAAATGTTGTTAAGTCTTAGCACACAGCTAATACTTAACAAAATTTTTAACAACAACGATCGAGGGCTCTCTGTAAGAACTAGCGCATGAGATCAACGATTTTTTCAAATAGTGAAAAAGAAAAAATCGTCAAACATACGCAACATTATAATAATCTTTACATAAATTTTTCTTAAGTATTTTAATATTTTTTCGTTGAAGGAGAAAAGACGCCATCGGCTAATTCTCATGCATTTATATATATATTGTATCTTTTTTTTTATTTTTTTTTTATTTAATGTGGTGTTCAAAACTATATTTTAATTCAGTTTATAATTCTCAAAAATAAATGGGAAATATAATTTATACTACCACTTCAAATAGCCACAAGTTGATATTATCATATATATCTTACTACTCTTCCGGGCTTGCAAGAACTCCATTTTGCTCCCTAAACTTTATTTTTGTCATGTATAGTCACTTAGTCTAATTTCAGGATGAATGTGAAAAGGGTCGACGCTTAGTTCCACTACAACGAACTTCCGAGTTTGCTTAAGATTTTAATTTAATATATGTGGTAGAAAAATTTTTGCATTCATGCTCGATTCCTGCTTTAATAAATAATAAATATAAATTTAATTTAATACACATTTAACTATCGTTACATTTAAATAGTTTAAATATACATATAAAGGACCAGCTAGTTATTTTAATGTATTTTAATTGATGATGAATTAAGTGGTTGTCTACTCAATAATTATTTAACTACCACTAGGTAAAAACTTTTGTTGAATAACGTAAAAGGTAGCAGTTTAGTTACTTCAAAAATATCTCGTCATTTATATTCGGTTAACGTATTCAGGTCTGAAAATGAAAGCAAAAAACTTGTAGTAGTACCATTTCAATAACAGGCAATTTTCGGGAAGAGTAGATTTATTTTTAAAAAAATTCAAAATAAAAAGTAATATTTTTAAAAACTCCGTTTTAGTAGTGGAGAATAATAATTAAGAAAAAAATTGAAAAACGTTTAAAATCGATTACAAAATTCCACACGGACAGACATACACGAAGGCAAGTTTATATAAACGCATACCTGCCAACTTTTAATCCCTTCCATTATCATTTTTCTCAGTGGTATTAAAATGGAATTAAAACTTCAATTTTAAGCAAGCAAATGCGTTGTATTTGAGAAAACTTAAATTGACAACCATATTAATATATGTGCTTAATTTTTGTAAGAATAGTGATGATCAAAATCATTTGAAAATTAAATTTATAAAAGAAAAAATAGTATATATTTACTACCACTTTAAATATGAAAATAAAATCTTCCGGAAAATCCGGAAGAGTTGGCAGGTATG